AATATGGGGCAACACAACCTTAAATACCATCATAATTTCCAGATGGACCGAACAGTATCTACATTTAGCTGATTTGAGCTTGAGCAGGTTTAAGGAACTAAACTTTCTGTCATGATATGCTAGTTTACATCCCTTTTCCTGTCTCTTAATCTCAACCCTTAAATGTACCTCCTCTCATCCCAGACTCTGAAGGTTCCGCTGTCTCTTCTCCCCTTCCTTTTAACACTATTACAAAAGGAGTAACTACTAGGACTGATGAAATCTTCCACGCTTACTTTAAGCACTGACCCCAACTGGCTCAATCCACTCACCCGCTACCAACCACCACCCTGAACAACTGGGAGAAGGAAAAACATCTCCATTCTCTTTGCTCAGAAATTCCTTTCCACTATAATGTCCACAGTGGGAAGAGTGGGGAGTCAGGACAATTCAATTACTTTTCTGACTGTGGTGGGCAAGGCACTTTCATCTCTTGGGGCCTCTACTGTGGGTTAAGAGAACTGGACATATCAGAGGTTTTCAAATGGTCCTCATGGAGTCCAATAAGTGATTGCTAAAGAAAGGGTGGTAGTTACCAAAGACTGTGAGTGTGCCTCTTCCCCTCCTTTAATCAGAGCAGCTCTGAGCTTTTACTTTATATATATGCTCTCATTACTTTAAGACAAGGTTCCTCAGATTTTAAGAGTTTGAAAATGGCTTAGCATAGGGCACTTGGCACACAGTAGGCACTCAAATCATTTAATGAATGAACGAAAACCAAAGGGACTGAGGTGATCTCTAAGATCCCTTCCAGCTCTGACCTCCCATGGCTGATTAACATGAATTAAAGTCAAATGCTGCCCCTCTACCTGCCTATGAATATACTGAGACTTCTGCTTGTTCCTTCATTTTGAGGAAATCATGCCCAAAGCTGATTCTAGAAAATAATTTCCTGATCATGGGTACAAGGATTCAAATAGTTGATCTCTGGCAAGCAGAAAAAAGAATATAGTTTAAAGGCTATCCAAGTCTATGTCTTTGCAGTAGAAGAGTCCACATGTAAGAAAAATACCAACATAACAGGCTAATAATAACATCACATCTCCTTTAAAGACAACTGAAACGTAAGTAAAAGGGCCAAAATATATCCTACATCCTTAAAAATTCTTCTGAACACCACTGCAGACATCCCAGTTTCTAGGCGATGAATCAAGATGACTTTGACTTACTCTGTGATTTTGGGGTCCAGGTTGCCAATCCATAACCGGTGCCCTTCCTGTAGGGAACCCTCTGACAGGATGGATGCGTTCTCCAGGGGAAGAGTTTTGGTTTCTGCTTCCATCAATCTCTATTAAATGCTAAAGGAAATGCGAACATTCAGACAGCTGAAGAGCAACACTGTGTGAACATGAGACTTCAAATTCAGTTCAACAAACATTTATTCAAGGAGGGAATGCCCTGGGCAATCCTTCAAAGGCCTCAGTTCTTCCACAACCAGGGCCCCAGCACCAGTTCCCTTGGGACAGCTCCTCTGGCAGCCAGAAAGTAAAAGCTTCCATTTAAGGTGAAAGGGGTGTGGTTCTGTATGTAGAAACTCAAGTTTTCCTCTTCTGAAGCCAGAGGCTGACTGGGCAGGAGGCCAAAGTCTCTCTTACTACACGATACTCCAGTTTAACAATTATCACCCAAAGTAAGCCTTGGAAACCACCAGAAAGAAAGTTAATGACACTGAAGAAGATGGGTAAGGCGGAGCAATAGTGAAAGAGGCAATACAGGAAATTAAAGGCCATAGATTTTGGAGTTAGAACTGAGTGTGCAAGCAGGTTATGTGACTTGATAAATTACCTAAACATTATAGGTCTCCTTTTCCTCATTTATATAAATGGAAAGAACAGTTCCTACCTTACAGAGCCATTGGGAAGATTAAAGGCAGTGCATGAAAAAAATAATTAAATGCTACATCTGACAACAGTAAATAATCAATAAATATTAGCTATTATCATGTTTAATATTTTGAGAGGCTGGGAAGAAGAGATGAACTTCCTCCTTAGTCCATTTCTACTATTTACTAGTTTTGTAACATTGGGCAAATTATTTAACCACCCTGTGCCTCAGTTTCCCCATCTGTAAAATGGGAATAATACCCCATAAGAGTTGTGCAGACTTATTGAGTTAATACTCTTAAAGCACCTAACAAACTTTCAATTAATGGTAGCTTAAATTATTACTAGTCTTAGTTCCTGACATGTCTCATCTCATAGACAAAAAAGGAAAGTGAGGATTATGATGGCTACAGTAGTGTATAGAGCAAAAACCCGGTGTCAGGAGGCTAGGTTTCAAATTTTGGCATTTCGACTGGAAGTCACTTCTCCCTAAGTTTCAGTTTCCTCATCTCTACACAATAAACCTTGCCCTGCTTTTATACCTGTGTTTTCATGAAAACACAGCATTCATGAAAATATAATGCAGCGAAGAAGAGATAAAAGGGCTGGGAAGATGGCAGGCTGTGCCAGACTTCAGAACTCCCTGCTACAGAAACGTGTCCTATATAACCAGAAGGGCCTCAAGAGGTTGGTGCGGCAGGAACTGTTTAATAACAACATTGCCATTACCTCTAACCATCTCAGCACAGCCTATAAAGTCTAGCACATAGTAGCCCCTAGATCAGTGATGGCGAACCTTTTTTGAGCTCGGCGTGTCAGCATTTTGAAAAACCCTAACTTAACTCTGGTGCCGTGTCACATATAGAAATTTTCTGATATTTGCAACCATAGTAAAACAAAGATTTATATTTTTGATATTTATTTTATATATTTAAATGCCATTTAACAAAGAAAAATCAACCAAAAAAAATGAGTTCGCATGTCACCTCTGCCCTAGCTAATTGTTTGTTGACTGTGTTTATCTATTCCCACAAAAGGGTATTCTTCTGCCTTTCCCACTCACATGTTCAATCTGTTTGGCAATGTGCGACAAGCAACCACTAACTGCTAAACCCCGGGCTATGTGCATAAAATAAAGACATGAATAACCCATAGCTCTTGCTCTTACCTCCTGTGAGGAAGGTGAGACAGACATAAACAGAATCCCAGGAGTAAAAATAGGAGGAGAAACATTTTGTCTTCTCCCTGCTTTCCTTCCTTTCCTTCTAATTTCTTAAAGATCATTCATTCAAAGAAAATTTACTGAGGTTCTATTTTCTAGGTATTGTTTAGGTCAGTGATGCCGAACCTATGACACGCGTGTCAGAGGTGACACGCGAACTCATTTTTTTGGTTGATTTTTCTTTGTTAAATGGCATTTAGATATATAAAATAAATATCAAAAATATAAGTCTTTGTTTTACTATGGTTGCAAATATCAGAAAATTTCTATATGTGACACGGCACCAGAGTTAAGTTAGGGTTTTTCAAAATGCTGACACGCCGAGCTCAAAAGGTTCGCCATCACTGGTTTAGGTCCTGGGGACAGAGCAGTGAATAAGTAAGTACCCACAGGGTACTAATATTTGGAAGAGGGGCAGGACACAAAAAAAGCAAAATAAGATGTAATTCGTGATAAGTGCTGCAAACACAACGAAGCAAGGTGACTGGAAAAGAATACTGGGGTTGGATACTTTGGAACTAGCGGAAAGGCCTCTAAAGGAGATGATATTTGAGATGGAACTTGAAAAACAGGACCTTCTGATTGTCTCATGTCTAAAAACAGAAATGATACCAATAGCTTCTTAGTATCACAGGAGGGTACCATCTTTAGCGGGAAGAGCACAGGAAATGGGCCCCCAAAAATCTGCATTCAACTCCTGGTTTTTGCACCCCATGACTGTATGACTTTAGTAAGTCATGATCCCTTCTCCCCCTTACGTGTCCTCAGAAAAGCTCTTCCTAATGGAGGGAGCTCCTTGTTAGTCTCTATCACAGCCACCTTTTCCTTTCCACACAATACTAACTCACTTTCTGTGATTTAATGTTTTATCGCCCGTTTCCCTCACTAGAATGGAAGCTACCAGAGGGCAGGGCCTTGCCTATTTTGATCATGGTTCCATCCCCAGGGGCTCGTGGCCAGTGCTCAATATTTACTGAATGAATGAACGAAGCAAGCCACTTTTCCACTCGCAGCCTCAGTTCCCCCCTTCTTCCTAGAATGGGCACCACTATCCCTCTCTCCTGGGTCGTTAGGAGGCTAAAACAAGACAGTATCGGTGACAGCTCAGCAGAGCGCTTTTTGAGAAACGATGAAGTGTAACGAGAAATCAAGATGGCCCGAGGCTTTCAAAACCCTTTGACTTTGCAACAGCGACAACACTTAGATTGTTAACAGGGCTGACAAGCACGCTTTTTCACCTCTCCTCCCGGCGGAGCTGCAACAGCGCTGGAAGCCAGGAAGAGTCACGTGGGGAAAAGGAAGTGCAGAGAAGCAGAGGCACTCGTTCCTAAGGGCTGTTAACGGCGGAGTCCCACGTGGAACCCCGGCTTCCCGACCCAGGCCTCGAATTCCCAGAGGCGGCGGGTCAACACTCGGTTTGTTATTTCCGGGCCAGCGGCGGGACAATCCGGGGCGGGGCCTGAGAAGCGTCTTCCCCGGCCGCCTCCCCGGGGAGGCCCGCCGGGGCCGGGGCTGTGGTGCAGGGGCCCGGACTCACCTCTTGGCCTCGGCGTCTTCCCCTCGGCTCATGCCCCTAGAGCAGGTCCCACCCCGCGGCCCACCGCGCTCCAGACGCCTCCGTCTCGACGTTACCTGCCGCCGGGCCGCGGGTGACGCACTACGCCTGCGCCGCCGCGCCGCCCCGCCCCGTGACGTCACGACGCCAGCGCCGCCGCCGTCGCCGAGGTCGTCAGAGTCTTTTCCTAATAGCCTGGGTGATAGCTGGTGAGTGGTCTCGGCACGGCCTGGAGGCGCGCGCGGGCTCCCGGTGCCAGAGATCTCTACCCCAGGACTTCTTAGGGACCGTAGGGGGCCTGATCGTGGTACCCGACAAGTCCCATCCAGTCCGGCTTGACCTTACGGCTGGGGGCGGGACCTGTAGCATCAGAGCCGGTGTCACGGGTTGGGGGCGGAACACGTGTCATCAGCTAGGAACTTCGAGCATTTGATGTGTGTGTTGGGGGTCGCTTACTAAATTGTAATCGCTACTTAATAGCCCATCACCTAGCAGGAATACTAGTTTCCAGAACAATACCACAGGTATAGATATCATTATTACCGTGGTGAGGAAACGGAAGCGCAGAGGAAAAAAAGAAAAACTTTACCCGGGTCACGTGGCTAGTAATTAATGGAGCTTAAATTCCAAAGCCTCAACTTTCAACCCTTACCCTGTGCCGTCCCGTCCCGTGGCAAGACGGTTGTCATCTCAGCATCCCTCCTCTGTTTACAAAGTGCGTCTGCAGCCCTTATCTCATTTGCTCCACAAATGGAATTATCACCTCCACGGTACAGATGAGACGAAGGTCCCAGGGTCTGACCTATCTAAGGTCACATCTTAGTAAGTGCTGGGACCAAGACTCGCTTCCGGGTCTTCTCTAAGTGTGATGCCTTTTTCCTTTCGCCACGTCCTATTGCATTTCTCAGAATCTGGGAGTGCTGGGACCAAGACTCGCTTCCGGGTCTTCTCTAAGTGTGGTGCCTTTTTCTTTTCACCACGTCCTATTGCATTTCTCAGAATCTGGGAGAGTCTTATCATTGGAAAGGTAGTTGAGGAAAACAAAGGACGGTTGGCAGAGAATGCTGAGAGAGGAATATTGTAATCCAGACTTCCTACCTCTTAGGCAAAAGCTCCTTCTCCACCTATGGAAGTGTCTTATCCCTCCTGTGGCTGTGCCAGGGACTTGCTTCTGTATATAGTCAGGTACTATACATAACTTTACATGGCCCTGAATTTAGAGGAAAACATGCCTTGCTATCTAAGGTGAAAATCTGGCAAACGAGAAGGTAATTGAAGCAGTGTTGGGAAGTAGAGCTCAGGAGCTACTGTCTGAGGTTTAGATTCTCATTCTGGTGCCAGCATTGTTACCTGGGGCAAGGACTTAGTTTTTCTAGACTTTCATTCATGTATCCAACTCATTTTTTCAGTGTCTACTGTGTCCGGGGACTGTGCTAGGCACCGGGGATACAGCAGTGAGCAAGACAACCATAGGCCAGTCCTTATAGTGCTTATAGGAACGTGGAGGGAATTAGACATCAAATAACTACACAAATATTAACTGATATTGTTAAAGTAGGTTCTATAGAAAGGCTCAAATGAGTTAATGTATGCAGTACAGCACTTAGAATTGTTTCGGGCACATAGTTATCACTATATAAGTAGTAGCTATTGTTTCATTATTAGTGTTAACAATGATCTTTTTAAAGGCTCATTAATACCACCACGATAAAGATGCGGTGTACCATATACTGTAGCTCAAAAAGGATAAATGGTCTACCCAAGGTCATACAGCTAGTAAGTGGTGGTGGGGGGCTGAGATTCTAGTTCAAGACAGCGTGCTTCCTGCCACAGTTTTTCTGAGTATAGGTTAATTTTGTTGGATAATACTTGGGCTCCCATAACAGTTGCTTTTCTTGACTTCATCTGTGCTGAACTGAGTGTTAATATGCATATCCTTAAGGTAAAGGGTCCAAGGGACTGCCTTTATTGAACTTCCACTTTGAAATTTCCTGACTTCTGTGCAATTAAAATCTACGCCTTAAAGCATTTCAGCAATGTGGTTTATTTATAGAGTTGGCTTCCGGTTCACGTGTACTGGGTCTGCTTTTGGGTGTTGTGTTTTCTGGCAAAGGTTGTTTATTTCTAACCCATTTTGATTTCCTGTTGCTTTCTGGATTGGTATTATGACCTGCAACAGGAACACCAGGAAACCTGTCTTAAATGGAGTAGCCAGATTGAGACCTTGTCGATTAAAAAAACAAAAAACACACATTATTATACAGCCATATTTGGATGTAAGTGTGGGTTAGGCATTGGCTATATTAGGCAAAAACCTAGATATAGAAACCTCACTTAGAGCCAAACTTTTGTGAACAGTTTGGCTGAAATAGGGCAGAGCTATTAGCTCCATGCCCTTAAACAGTGACAATGTCTTTGAGTCTCAGTTTCTACATCTGTAAAATGGAGATTATTATACTTTCTTTGTGGTATTAGTAAAAGGATTAAGTGAAATACTCATAATATGGATAAAGCAAGCAACCCAGGCCTGACCTCAATTAATAGTAACTATTGATAATAATTAAAGAAGAGGAAATGCTATTCATTTGTTGTTGTTGTTTTGTCCAGATCTATCTTTACTGACTGCACACACTGATCCCTGACGTCTGGCATCTCTTGCTATTAAAAATTCCATCAGGAGAAGTTATTTGCCTTTGTGCTATTCATTTGCTCTTTTAAAAAATAATGATAATGATAGCTTTTATTAAGCAGGTGCTGTGTTCCTGGCACTGTGTTAGGTGTTTTACATGTATTCACCATCTCATTTTAAAATCAGGATATTTTTCTCATTTTGCAGATGAGGAAAGTTATACCCAGAAAAATGGAGTGAATTGCCCAAAGTTGAAATTTACATCCAGATCTGACTGACTCTGGGCTACCAGTACATCCGTAGTGACATGCAAGATTTCTTTATTGTGTCTGACCGTGTCGTGGAAGTCTTTGAAAGGAAAAGTGTCAAAGCGATCAGTAGATATCCCTTTTGGGGGCTCCAGCTGTCTGTTAACCACTGGGCCAAGTGTTTATCTGCACAAACTCATTTATTCTTCCCAACCCTAAGAAATAACTATATCCCCATTTGACAGCTGAGGAAATCAAGGTGCAGTGATGTTCAGGGACATTTAGTGAGTGATGGAGCTGGCAATGGGTTCCAAGCCTTCCTGGTTGCAAAACCCATGTTCTTATTCAGGCTGTTGTACTACATCAAAATTTGAGGATGAAATTTTGTTTCGTTTTAGTGCAGTATGAGACTGATTTTCAAAGACAGTAGCTTCCAGGTATTTGAGGCTAATTGTTCTTAATTTTTAGATGAGTAATAGCCCGATTCTTGGCAGAAGCACATTTGTCAGTTTGCTAGGACTGTGTTTTATCCTAGAGGTAGCTGTAGACTCTAGCATCTTTCCATAGTCAAAGACCTCAGAAGTATAATGTGTAACTTGTGTTAGCACAGAAAAGGGTGGCATTTTCCAGAGCTTTAATTCTGTAACATGGAAGACCTCAAACCTCAACCATGCTTCAGACTCACATTAAAGTGCATTCTAATTGGTAATCAGTGCATAAGGAACCAAAGAAAATTTTAATTAAATGCTGTCGTGTGAATTTTCCAGTCATTTTATGCCTGTTGAAATTGTTTTCTTATTTAAAGTTTTCTTCCAGCGCTCTGCCCTCCCTTTTTATAGTAGTGCCTTTTCTCCTATAAGGATTTAATCAGCATCATTTGCTTAGCTCTGTGTTCCTTGTGTACTAAGAAGCATTTGGTGCATGGGGATTTGGAGTCTTACAGACTGGGCCAGTTACTTAAATCTCTGTGAGCCTCAGTTTCTTTGTCCTGTAAAATGGGGCTAATCATATTTCCTTGGAGTCTGTTGGGAGGAGGATTAGAGATAATGTATTTAAATTGCCTAACACATAGCTCAATTTATAGGAGTTGTTTGATAATTGATACAGATTATTTTCTGAAGTTGTAATAGAGTCTGTTTTATTTATATCTGTTTTTGTCTTATTCTTTTTAGATGTTCACATAGACTGTCTTCAGTCATGGCCTTGGGTTTAAGGTGCTTCCGCTTGGTCCATCCTGCCTTTTGCAATTCCCTTGCAGCCTTGACCAGACCTGTTTCGGAAGTTATGCTGAAGACAGTGAGTGGAAGACAAAATGACCACAGGCAATACGTGGCCTATGCAGCTATACCAACCCGTCATTTTGCTACCAAGAAAGCCAAAGGTAGAGACATCTGACCTCCTCACCCCTTTCTTATATTTAGCCCTTGAATTATCATAGCTGGAAGGACATCAGAGATGTACTGAATTTCTCCCCTTGCCACATGAGGAAATGGTTTCTCACATAATACAATTGATTAGCTTAAAAGGTCACAGTGATAGAGAACCTAGGGTCTGTTTTCTCATTATCATGTTGCTCATATGTTACCATAGCTCAGAAATGCCTAATTTCTTTCTTTAAATTGAGAATTAAAGGTATAATGCTTGAGGCAGGGATCAACCCATTTTTCTCCTTATAGTAAGATCTATGTTGGAAGTAAAATTAAAACCAGAAGGTTGTTGGGTAAGGGGTATTAGAGCTATGGATTTAGATGGATGATCTTAATGGTTTGTGTCATCCAAGAATGAGACTTTGATATACCCCAGATCTCAGCTTAAATGTCACTTCCTCAGGGAAGCCTTCCCTGACCTCTTACACTGGGTCAGGTCCCTTGTTACGTGCACTCGTGCGCACTGTTATTTTACCTTTGATGTACTTAGCACAGTACTCATTAATTAGTTAATTCATTGTAGGTTCGATTATTGTTTGTTATATGTCTTCCATGCTGGACCCAATGAGGGGAGGGCCTATGTTTTTCTTGGTTAGCATCTAACAGAGCTTGACATATAGTATGCTTCAAAAAATTTTGTTGAATAAATGAGTGACAGAAAATTGTCAAACAGACCTGCTATTTGAAGTGGTGGGTCAGGGAGTCCACTCCCAAGGATGGTGCTAGAAATATGCTGCTAAATATTTTTTTCCATTGACTTTCCTTATATGGTTTCATGCAAACCTTCCCTTTTCTGTTAATAGTAAAATTAACAAGTCACTGAAAGATTATTAATGCATAGAAGACTCATGTCCTCTTAATAGTGACAACAGTATTAACTTTTGATTTGTATGTTGTATTAAATTTTTAAAAAATTCACCTACATTTAATAATTTAATCCTTATAATTATCCTTTGAAGGAATTATAATTATCCAGTGAAGCACAGGTCTCACCATTTTGCAAATGAGGAAACGTGAGGTACATAAATGAGATATGCACTGTACAAATAGCACAGGATCTAGCTCATGGTAGATGTTTAGTAGTCTTTGTTGTAAATGAATTTCAATAAATGTTTACTGATTATTTAAGAAATAACTGTAGGATATTATTTAAATATTTTTCTATTTTTCTCCTTCCCTTACCCTTCAAAAATATTTGTATTACTCACCATAGTGGTCAGAATGTGTATGAAAAATTGCCATGATGGCTTAGACATAAAACAGAACTTTAGTTAGCTTCCAATGCTGTCAATTTTCTAAAATATAAGCCATTGTCACTACCATTGGTGGTGGTAAATGTTTCTGAACTATTGTTGTTCTGTTTGTTGGTAGCAGCTATCAGATACTTTGCATATCCTTGTCTTAGTATTTATTTTATAATTAATTAATATATTTCTGTATCTCCAATTAGACTTTATGGAGGCAGCTCAGTGAAAAGTTCATCGGTTTAAAATTAGGAAGATCTGGGACCAAATCTTGGTTTTACTCTTTCATGACCTTATAATATTAGGCAAGTCATTTTAACTTTCTCATCTTCTGTTTATTTTTCTGAAAAAAACAAGGAATTAATTCACTTATGGAGTGTCTGCCATGTGGATAGTGCTCTTTTAGGTATTGAATTACTTAATTTATATCCATGTAGCAACCTAGCAATATAGATACTATCCCTGTTTTACAGATAAGGAACCTGATGTTCAGAAAAGTAGAGTTACATGCCCAAGGCCATAAGGCTAGCTTGCATTATAGCCAGGATTTTCACCTGGGGTATCTCTGTATAAAGTCTGTGCCTTCACTAGTGTCTGAGAAAGTGCTTTTAGCACCATGCTCGCTAGTAGACTCTCAGTAAATGTAGACATTTTTTTTATAGGGCAGTGATAATGTTCTATAATTTTCTAGCACTTGGAATTTTGCCCTGCACATAGTAGGCACTTCTTCACTGATTGTTTATTGTCTGCTGTTCTTTTATTCATTGAATGTTGACCTTTTAGCCAAAGGAAAAGGACAGTCCCAAACCAGAGTGAATCTTAACACTGCCTTGGTGGAGGATATAATCAACTTGGAAGAGGTGGAAGAAGAAATGAAGTCTGTGATGGAAGCACTCAAGGATAATTTCAATAAGACTGTCAATATAAGGACCTCACCAGGTTAGTGACTGAACCAGTATTTTGGAGAAGGGCGTGGGGGAAAGATCATGGCTTTGGCAGAGCTGCGTTTTCATTCCAGCTTTGAGATTTACTAATTGGCGACCACTGTACTTTTCTGTTCCTCCGTTTCCTTGTCTAATTCCTACCTTATAGCTTTGGGGTGCATATTAAAATAGTGAGGTAACATATGTAATGGTTCTGACACAGTGACTGGCACGTAGTTAACATTTATTTATCCATTCAGCAAATATTTGTCTACTATGAACCAGGCATTGTACTGATACACAGTGGTGAATAAAACAGGCAAGCTCTTGGCTCTCATGGTACTCTTAAAAAATTGGGAGTTTTATTATGATAATAATAAACAACTATATATGCTTCTAGGTATTTAGTCTCATAGTAGCTGACATCTTTGGTCTGACTTTTTCCAATTTGTCCTATTTGGCCATTCTTATCCCTTACTGGGAACCAACTGGCGGCAAACCTGCCCACCTGAGGCATTTCTGTACCCCCGTGTTTGACCAGGAAGATTACGTTTAGGTTAATAACTTCCTGAAAGTGGCTTTTCTAAGTGGGAAATGTCAGAACTGTCTAGGCGAACTGTTTGCAGATGTGATGGAAGAAGTGAGTTGTCAGCTAATGGTGCAGGCAGGCAGGCAGGAAAAATCCAATTGCTGTAAAATTGGCCTTTTGGAAATTGTCATCATCCTAGAGTCAAGCCTGGGACCCCCTCTGAAGATATCGGTGGGAGCTTGGGCGGTTCCCATTCACATCTTGGTTTGAATAGTTTGTAAGGAAACTAGAAAATATTTCATGAGCTTGTTCTTAATAAAACCAAGTGAAAAATATACAGCTCCATTTATAACACCAGCAGAAACATCCTGAGTTCAGCGACAAGATCCAGTGTGAAACCAGAAGACCATTCCGTCATTTGTCAACCTTTAGACTGGGGCATTCTGCTTTTGCTGACAGTAGAGCGTGCCATTCAATCTCTCCCAACTGTTTATTTTAAACTTGCTTATTATTTTAGGTATGAAACTGATAAAGTGCTTTGTTTCCCCTGTGCTTTCTGGCCTGTTAACATTCTGCAGCCGAAACCAGAGAGTAGTTTGAGAGGAGCTCAGGGAGAAATGTGATACTTAAAATTAGCTAGCAAGCTCCACTCTTGTTGAACTTAAAAAGATGATGGCCTGCAAAGAGGTTGGGAGTGTAATTTGTTAAAAGTTAACCTCTGAGAAAATGAGGGGCAGGAATGAGGCTAAGGGAGATTCTCGCTGGGGACAGATTGAGGGAAAAGGATTTGATACATTAAGTCGATACGGATTTAGAGAATGGGAACACCACGCTGCATACTGGGAAAGCCCATGTTGGGACTCCTGTGGCAGAGGATCTTAGGCAAACCAGGAAGGCTGAATTAAGATCCATTTTCAAAAGGCCTCCCGTTGGTATTTCCTCTTTGCTTCTTTCTCTTTAGGGTTATGTTTGTGTAACGCTGTACGTAGAACTTGGGGCCATGAAGGGACTGGATGAAACAGGCTGAACGTAGCCAGTCTTTTTTTTTTTGGCTAGATTCTTCTATATCATCTTTCATTACTATCTGAACCAGCAGGCACTTTTCTTCTTACACCTTCATCTGTCTACCAACAGTTTCTATCTTCAAGGTAGTTGATTGTTTTTAATAGTTGTCTAAGATATGGGTTTATTCGTTTGTCCATTCTTGCTCTCTCTCATTCATCCATGCAAATATACATTCATTTATTCATCAAAGCATTACTGAGCACTTGTTTTGTGCTGATTAATAGGTGCTGTAGATAGAGAAAAGACATTCTCCCACCTTCCCAGAGCCCTAATTCGAAGGAACACAGTTAATCCAAAATGTGTAAAATTATAGTAAAGCAGAGTGAAGACCTTAGCTAGGAGTTGGTCAGTCCTGGGTTTGAATTCAAGCTCCATTATTAAGAGCTCTTGTGACCTTGAACAAGTTACTCTCTGTGCCTCCATTTCCTCATCTGTAAAATGGTGGAACTATCTCAGGGTTATTGTAATAATAAAAACATATCAATTATAGACACTTTTAGCACAATTTCTTGCTCATAGGAAGTGTTCAGCAAATATTGGCTATCATTATTATAGATGCATAAGATGTTTGGGAACTCACGAGGGGGTTTGTAATACAGTTTAGGAGGTCAGATAAGACTTCTGAGATTAGAAACTACTAGGTCACAGTTCGATTCCTGGTCAGGGCACATGCCTGGGTTGCGGGCTCAGTCCCCATTGAGGGATGTGCAGGAGGCAGCCAATTAATGATTATCTCTAATCATTGATGTTTCTCTCTCTCTCTCTCCCTCCTTTCCTCTCTGAAATAAAAAAATTTAAATATATATATGTGTATATATATATATTTTAAAAGAAGCTATTATAACTGAGTGTTAAAGAATGATCAGGAGTTATCTGAACAGACAAGGAAAAATATATGCTAAATGTCTTGAGGCAAGAAAGAACAGACTGTACTAGAGAAATTATAAATAGATTAGTTTGGGTAAAATATAGGAAAGTCAAGAAGTAATAATAATAGTTATCATTTATGGGGCACTTATATATGCCAGGACACAGTTATAAGTGCTTTCTGTAAACTCTTTCATTTAATCCTCAAGCAACCCTCTGAGATAAATACAATTTTTATGCCCCATTTAGAGATCAGGACACAGACACAAAAAAGGCTGAAGGATCTTCCCAGGGTCACACAATCATGAGGTGGCAGAGTTAGTATTTGAACCCAGGACATTTGTCTTCAGAATCAAGGAAACTTTTGCTATTATACCTCTTGAGCTTTTCTGGATTAAAGCCAATGGTATCAACCACCTTCTCTTTGTGGTGATATTCAATATGGTTGAGTACTTCTACGTAGATCTTTGGGCCATAGTGTGGTACTACATTATTCTAACAATTCCCCATTGTTTAAAAGACCCCTTCCTACCCACCCCTTTCTCTTTGTGTCTACATGAGTGTTCTTACTGTTAATAGTATGTTTTTTTCCCCCCTCTAGTTCTCATTTGAATGGGAAACTAGGGATTTTAAATAATGCCCCTCTTCTATCTGTAACCGTGGCTTTATTTGCTTGCCTATTGGGTTTCTGAAAATTTTGCCCAGGGTTTTCTAGAATTCAGATGTGGAAGAAGATCAGATCTAGGGTAACAGTTAAGTGTTAATAGTTGGTGTATGTTTGTTTTTTTTCTAAAGAGGATCTAAGTACCAAAATCAAGGTGGGTGGTATAAGGAAAGGGTTTCAAACATGGCTGCATGTCAGAATCATGTGGTGATCTTAAAAAAATTATAGGCTTCCCCTAAATCACAGGCTCCCAATCCCTTATAGAATGGGGATCTCTGGGGTGCGGCCCAGGAATCTAAATGAAAAAGCTCCCTGGTGATTCTGATGCATTTGAGTTCCACTGGTAAAAGGGGAAGAACCCTGACTGGGATCAGAATTTAGCATACCTGAGTTTGAGGCTTGGCTTTTTTTTTCAAGGTTTTTTTGTTCTTGTTGTGTTGACATTATTACAGACGTCCCCTATTTTCTCCCCTCTTCCCGTCCACCCAGCCCCCACCCCACTCCACCCCAAGCCTTCAGAAGCTTGGCTCTTGAGTATTTTTTGTTAGCTCCCACGTCTCATTTTTCTCTGTGTAAAGTGGAGATCGTAATACAGTGCTACAGAGTAGTTATAAGAACTAAGGGTTAATAAGAGATATCCTCTCTGTGTGCTTATTTTGTGGTGCTTACACACTTGATTGTTTATATTTAGCTATAAACCTCACTTTAATCCTGTAAGTTATTGTTTCACTGAGTTGGACACCAAGGTTTAGAGAAGATAAGTAACTTGCCTGAGGTTTTATGGTTAGTAAATGGCAAAGTTTCTGGAGAGGTGACCAACTCTTTCCAGTTTTAGCTCTGAAAGTCCTGTGTCACAGGAAACCTGTTAGGCCCAGGCACACCGGGATGGCTGGCCACCCTGGTTGCTGGTAGGAATTCCAGCCTCGTTTTCTCAGTATGTCGAAGCTGTTTCCATCACGGGACGCTGCTGTTCCTGTGAAAGCCCCTGGAATGGTCTTGCCACATTGATAAGGGACCCAGAATATTAGTTGAATCTGAAGTAGATAGGGACTTAGGTGTGGGGCTTCTAAGGCCCTTCTGAATTCTAAGACCCTATAATTTTTTCTTTATTTTTTTAGGATCCCTTGATCATATCACTGTGGTAACTGCTGATGGGAAACTTGCTTTAAACCAGATTGGCGAGATCTCCATGAAGTCGCCACAACTGATCTTGGTGAATATGGCCAGCTTCCCAGAGGTAAGGTGGCCTGGCTCACAGGTCCTTATTCATGCTGTCTTTTGGAAGGAGGAGGCTGGGTCAAGGCAGCAGGAAGTATTCCCTCCAGCTTGGGATGAAACAAAATGGAGGAAAGTTAGGGAGAAGGAAAAGCTCTTTCCTGTTTCTAAGTTCCTTTTCTGCTAAACACTATAGAAGCCAGGCAAGTAATTTGACTACTGCAGCAGGCCCCATCTAAGAAAAACAATGGTGGCGATGCAGTGGTTGGCGCTTGGCCAACTTGGAGGGGACTGTGGTAAACTGGGGAGCCTGTGCCCTGCGAGCAGCCTTTGCCCAGAAACGTAGGCCTGGCAATCAGCATTACCAGGTATTATGATTTTTATTTCCAGAAGAAGCCAATAATCCACATTTTTATATAAGATTCTTGTTAAATATTGATAACTAATTCACTTTTTTTTTTTTAAGATTGTGAGAAAAAACCACATTAACGAGCCACTAGTTTGTGACCTCTGCATTAGTGTTTGGAGCAAATCCTCCAGGAGGTCACATTCCTTTCACACCGGACTGACCGTTGCAGCGTATTGTACAGAGCACAGTGCTCCCCAGCCTGGAAGGTGGGCTGCATTATTGTTGCCACTTTGAGGCTGTGATAGGAAGTCAATTTGAGGTAGAGAAGGGGCTTCTTCTTAGTGGTCCCGTGGGAGTGGGCCTGGATTTGAAGTCCTGGAGGACCTGGAACCCGGTCCCATCTCCGTTGCTAGCTGGCTGTTTGACCTTGCTCCACTCTCTGGGCTGCCATTTCCTCATTTGTTGTTAATGTGAGGCGAAGGACGCTCAAGTCCCTTCCTGTTCCAATGGTCTGTTTCAGTGTGTCTGTCCCAAAGACATAGACCAAAGGTGAACATGCTAGATTTGGCAGACTGGATTAGAGATATGAGTAAGAAAAAAGCCCTTGCTGTGAACACGTTCAGACCATGTGTCTTTTGAATTCCTTACTCCCCCATTCCCTTCTCCATACTGCAGCCAGAGCGAACTTTTAAAAATATACATTGGATTATGTTATTTCCATGCTTTACATTTATTAATGGCTTCAAGTGGTATCAAAGAAAAAGATTACTGTGGCTTAGAATGCTTTGCATGATGTGCCCCTGCCTGTGTCTCCCAGTGTCTCCAGTCTTGTGCTACTGACATCCTTATACACCTCTCTAGCTAAATTGATCTTTCAGTTCCTCAAACACACCACACCCTTTGCATCCTCAGGGCTTTGCAAGGGCTCTGCCCTTTGCTTAGAACACTGTTGACTGGCTAATTGCTATATCTCTATATCTATATCTATCTATATCTATATCTATATCTATATCTATATATCTATATCTATCTATATTGCTATATATACTTATATATATATCCATTTATTTTTATTTATTGGGGTGACATTGGTTGGATCACAGATTAAATGTCACTTTCTCAGGGAAGCCTTCCCTAATCTACCCAATCGAAACCACTCCTCCACACTAAGCTCTCTTATAGACCACGGTTCTTTTTCTTTATTGCACTTATCATTATTAATAATTATATATTTATATCTTTATTTTCCATCTCACTTTCACTAGATTGTAAGCTTGGAATGCAGGAATCATATCTAACTTACCCATTGTGTTGAGCACCTAAAACGGTGCCTGGCACATACATGCAAGCACTCAGTAAATTTTCCACAAATGGATGAATACTTGTTATTAGGTTGATGGAAGGGAGGCTCTCAATCCTGCTGTTACTGAGGAGCTGAGAAATGGACTAAAAGGGAACAGTCAACTCTTACCCTTCGTGGCCCCCTCTGAACTGCTGAGGCCTCTCTGCCTGGTTCACCTAATCCCATTGGCACTGCAGGCCAATTTAGGGAATAGCCTCCTAATTACACAGCTTGAAGACCTCATCAGGCAGATTGCTTTTCAGAGCCAGCCACTTCTGTTATTAAATCGCAAATGGCATTCACAGAAGAAGCGTGATTGGCCACCAGCGCATCTTATGAGGTAGGAGGAGGTATTAACTGCTTAATTTTTTTCTTAGGAAGTTAGAGTATATCTTCATTTTTCAACCAAAGCATCTCTGCCTTCCAAGTTGAAATTCTGTGGGTTTTAAAGGAGAAAAACCCCCACAAAAAACTTTTACAAGCATCTCAGTCAAGAGGTTCTTTACAAGGACAGAATGAGGAAGTGTGAGTTACATTGTCTTTTGAATTCCTTTATCTCATCTGGTGTATATATTAAACAAATAGTCTTAACTAAACATTTCCTTCCTTCACTTTAGAAGCTGTCCATTGAGTACCCAGGTTCATAGCTTCAAAATGCTGAGCTAATCCTCTCTGTGTTTATGTAATTCCTTTCTGTTTCACATGCGGTTGGCTTTCTTTCCGAACCTGCGCTTTTCTGTGTCATGCTGTAGTGACACGATGCAGATTTACATGCATAATCCTTTCAAATGCATTGAAGACAGAAAACTGTGTTGCATTTGTTTAACATGTGTCCTGCTTGATAAATGATACACATAGTTGCTGCTTTCCATAAACTTGCCTGCAGCTAGAGTTAATGATGGGAAAGAAAAGAAGGGAGTAAAAAACCAAAGCATGATTTGAAAAAGCAAATGAAAAAAAAAAAGAAAAGTCTGTAGGCGCCATTATTTCCCTTGTGGAAGGAAGAAAGCCAACGTGTATTGAGTGTCTCCTGTGTTGCCGGGCACTACTTTCTCATGTTTTGTGTTTACGTGATCATGTTTTGTTTCTAGGTACTCTCTAAAATTAAGCATTATATGTTCCATTTTATAAATGAGAAAACTGAGGCTCAGAGAAGTACAATATCTCCCTGAGGTTCACACCGTTGTGACAGAACCAAGATTTGAACGTAGATCTGTTTGGCACTAAAGCCTGTGCTCCTTTAACCATTCATTCATTAATTCAACAAATACTTTTTGAGTTCCTGTAAGATATTAAGTTTTAGTTGAGGTGCTGGAGTTAATTCCCTGATGATAAAAACAGACAAGGTTCCTGCTTTCATAGGCCTTACATTCGAGGGACTCTTTGGGATATAAAGGAAATGGAAGGCCAGTCACTGAAATGGCACTAACAAAGTTGACTTGAACCCAAAGGGTTAAGGACTTGACCTGCCCAAAAAAGTTTTATCACCTCTTGTCCTTCAGCAGAGATGAACTTAAGAATGGCAGTAGCAGTCTTTGCTAATTGATGACAGCACGCCTTCCTGCCTGGCCCCAGATGGGATCTGTGATCTCTCTCTACAGAGTTCTCCAAGCAGCCACAATCATTTGGTCAGTGTTGCCATTTGAGAACTTTCTATTTGCCTTGGGGTACTGGTGAGCATCCCTCCAGTGAGGGGACAAAGGCTAAGATAAAAGATGGAAATGCGATAGAAATATATTCCTTTTCATCTGAGCCCTGAGTAGTTCAGAAGTCATGTTGGGAAAATGACTGTAATTCCCTGAGTTTCTGCATCCTACCACATCAAACCAAAATATACATATTTAGAATGTTTTAGAACTACCTCTTCTAGTAGGTTTCTTTTCAAAATGAAACCTGATTTGCATTTTTTCTGCATATGAAAGGACACAGAACAAGTAAAGTACAAAATAAGGATTTGGGGGGGTTATATATAAGAAGTAAAAGTAAGGAGATGAGTTTGTCTAATAGATCTGAGTCAGTTTATTAATATACTCATGCAGCAAGCTTTTACTGAGCGCTTGCCATGTGCCTGGCACTGAGCCTTGTACTGGGAAGATGTAGCTATTGAGACATAGTGACTGTCCATCTGGGTATCCGCTGTAGGTGCTCTGGTGCCCACCGGGGAAGGTTGTGTGGAAGCACTGGGGTCCTACTGTGAAAGGGAGGGGCTGGTGGTAGGATGTTACCACAGTGAGTTGTCAGTCATTCAGTGAGAAGCATCAGAAAAGGATTGGGAGACTTGAGATCAGGCTACCTCTTCAAAGTGGAGATTCTCCCTTTATTGTTAACTGTAGAAAATCTGTGTCATTTTATTAAGAAAATGGCTGTTCTCTTGCAGAGGGATATTTTATTTCTTTATCTAGCTCTTTTATTTACCTTTATCTTAAGATACTCTTTTTTTTTAATTTCTTTTTTTTTTTATTAGTTAAGATACTCTTTATCTTAAGATACCCTTAAAGGAGCTAGATACCCTTTAAACACCAGACCTAATTCCAAATTATTTTGGGCTGTTTTTAAAAAAAGTCAAATCCCCTGTGCTACTAAATACTTAAGCTAGGGGATCTGGAAGAAAATATGGACAGAATAGCATCATTGGACTGAGAGTTGAGGAGCCTACTGTCTCCTCTTAACTCTGCCAGTAAGTGGAAGTGTGATGGGTAAGGTCCTCACTGTCCAGCTCTCGGCTCTCCGGAAGACCATATGTGCTTAGGGATGTGACTTTATCCAACAGGTCTTATATACAAGAGGAAGGGACTGTACTTGGCTGTCACAGTCCCTTCCAGCTCCAATAGTCTGTGGCCATAGGTACCATTTTAAGAATTTACTGTTTTAGCCCGGTCGGCATGGGTCAGTGGATGAGAATCGACCTATGAACCAGAAGGTCACAGTTCAATTCCTGGTCAGGGCACATGCCCGGGTTGCAGGCTCAATCCTATTGGGGGAGTGCAGGAGTCAGCCAATCAGTGATTCTCTCTCATCATTGATGTTTCTGTCTCTCCCTCTACCTTCCTTTATTGATGTTTCAATAAAAATGTATTCTTTAAAAAAGAAAATTTACTGTTTTAAGCAGTAGCCACACTATTAGATTCTGTGTACAGCCTCCCATGGAAATGATTCATCTGATGTGAAAGTTCTGGTTTATCTTTTCACCTACGATTACCCCTCATGTCTCTGTAGAATTAAAGCCATTTAAAAATGAAATAGAGAAGTTTTCAAAACCAAAGCAAACCCTGGAAAAATCAAATAGGTGTGACACAAACCCCATTCTTTTGAACCAGAAGTCGAGGGAGGAACTCCAGATCGAGAATTGGTCCTGTGAATCCAAGTGATGTGGATTGGCTCTGGTCAAACCTAAAATTCTTTGGAAAATATCAGAGGCCTCATTTTCATGAATTTCACACTGTCATGCCAATGAAAGCATCTCTCTTCCACACTGCTGTCTTTCACCTTTTAGGATTGCATGCCAGGTGTGGCTATATTGTTGCTTGAGGTGACGCGCTTTGGGAAATCAGAGTACCAGTGCGCCTCCTGGCCCGTTAGCCGGACTGTGTCAGAGAAGACCCTGGAGGATGACAGGGAGGGTGACAGGCAGGACAGCAGTGCATCAGCTACGTGATGACATACACTCAGCCTTGTTTGGGGGTTTTGTGCATTCTTACCTCTATATGCTAAATGTATGTAATAACTCCCCTAGGTGTTACTGTGGGCCAGTTACAGAGCAAGATGCATTGCTCATGCTACCTCATTCATTCCTCTCTGAGGTGTATGTACCATGTGGTCTCAGGTTACGGAATGGAGGCCCAAGAGGTCAGGCTTGTTGCCCAGGGTCACATGGTAAGCAGAGCTGGGATTTGAACTGAGCTCTTTATGACTCCAAAGTCCATGCTTGCAGCCAGTACACCATTCTCTCTTTCCTGGAGCACACACCCACAGGGAGCCGTTGCTCATTCCAAAGCATGAGTGAGGTCGCTGTGTGTGTAGATACGAATGAGTTAAATTTATTTACTCATTCCAAGTCGGCACGGGTATATTTTGAGTGTAAAATGTCAACTGGAATTTTTAATGTATAAAATCTTTCATCTGTCTTTACACCAATCTTTGTACAGACCAGCCCCCCTCCCTTGAGGATTTATTGTGGTTTTGATCTGTCTTGCCTCAAACCATTGAAATCTTTTCAAAGAAGCAGAGCTGTTTTCTTTTTATTTTTTCCTTCTCTTTGCTTTTTTTCCTCCCGCAGTACACTGGTACCAGGAGTGGACATAGTTTGCTATTCTGCTTGATCAAAGCACTCTACACCAATGTAACTTCCTGATCTTACTGGTAACAGAACTAAATGTTTCCATGTTCTGCCAAGATGGGTTGCCAGTTATCGACAGAGGGCTTGCATCTGGTAATAATTATTTACTAATTCTGTTTACCTTTTGATCTGGTTTTCAGTGTACAGCTGCAGCTATCAAGGCTATAAGAGAAAGTGGAATGAATCTGAACCCAGAAGTGGAAGGGACACTAATTCGGGTACCCATTCCCAAGTAAGTTTGGCTGAAATTTACATATTTTGATGTTGGTTTCCTTGGGCAAGCCAACACCCATGATACTATTAGGCTGATAGCATACTTTACCTGTACTCCTCCTGGCAAATTCCAGCATCTTTTAAGGTCCACTTTTACTGATTCAGAAACATTTATTGAGTATCTACTGTGTATGAGGGCTGAGATGCAGCAGTCAACCTGATAAAGTCCTTGACCTCATGTACTTTATGCTCTGGTGGGGAAGATGGGACACATAAGCAGATAAAGGCATTCCAGATAATGAGATGCTACGAGGAAAGAAAAGGCAGTGAGACCTAGTAGGGAGTGACTTGCTGAGGGCGATGGTGGCAGGGACAGTTTTAGCCTGGGAGGCCTCTTTAAGGAAATACCATTTGCTGAGAGCTGACTGAGGAGGAAGAGTCAGCCTCGGGGAGTGGGAACTGCCAGCACAAAGACCTCGATACTTGTACTCTCGAATCCATGTTCCTTGAAGCCATGTTCCTTGAAGAGTTATTTTTACCTTAGTCCTTGCTTGTTGAAGAATTTTAAGCATAAGAATAGGATATTGTTAATTATATAAACATATAGAACTTAGAGTATTAAATGAAAAAATCTGTGGTTTTGCTTTCAGCAGTTTTTACCTGTGGTTAGCTGTAGCCCAAAAATATTACATGGAAAATACCAGAAATAAAGAATTCGTAAGTTTTAAATTGTGTGCCATTCTGAGTAGTGTGATGAAATCTTAAGCCGTCCTGCTCCATCCCACCTGGGATGTGAATCATTCCTTTGCCCAGCGTATCAACGCTGTGTATGCTAACCGCTCATTAGTTACTTAGTGGCTGTCTGGGTTATCAGATCGACCACTTGTGGTATTGAAGTCTTGTGTTCAAGTCACCTTTATTTCATTTAATAATGGCTCCAAAGTGCAGGAGTAGTGATGCTGGCAATTTGGACATGCCAAAGAGAAGCTGTAACATTTTCCTTTAACTGAAAAGCTGAAAGTTCTCAACTTAAGAAAGAAAAAAATCGGATGCTGTGGTTGCTAACATCTATGGTAGTAAGCACAAATCATCTACCCATGAAACTGTAAAGACAGGTGAGTACAGTATGATAAAATATTTTGAGAGACCATATTTACATAACTTTTATTATAGTATAATAATTCTATTTTATATTAGTTACTGTTGTTAATCTCTTACGGTGCCTGATTTATAAATTAAACTCTATCATCAGTATGTAAGTTTATGAAAAAACATATTATGTGTAAGGTTCAGTACGATGCACAGGCATCCACTGGGGGTTTTGGAATATATCCCCTGCAGGTGGGGGGGGGGGGCTACTGTATGTTTATTTTTAAATTAAAAAAGAAAAAAAATGATAAGATTTTGACATGTTTAAGAAAGAGAAAGCCATTGTGCCCAGAACTCAGGGAGGGAGGAGACAGTGTTAGGAAAAGGGGTTGGACTAGTGAGTAGAGGCTGATGGTCAGGCCACGGTAGGAGTCTGGGCTTTATTCTAATTGTAATGGGAAGACATTGGAGAGATTTAAACAGGGGAGTGACCTGATCGATCTGATGTTGACTTTTGGGGGTCTCTCTGGCTGTTGATCAACAAATGGGATGTAGCGGAACATAGTAGACACAAGGAGAACAGTGGGGAGGCAGCTGCTGTAGTCCAGGTGAGATATGGATCTTCCGCCTGCTCAGATTCAGTAGCAGGCAGAATTAGTTTCTCCTCCGTAATCTCATTTCTTAATTAGCCTTTTTTTTAGTCCTCACCTGAGGAGTGAAGATATATTTTCCATTGATCCTAGAGAGAGTGGAAGGAAGGGGCAGGAGAGAGAGAGAGAGAGAGAGAGAGCGAGAGAGAGAGAGAGAGAGAGAGAAAGAAACATCAACGTGACAGAGACACATCTATTGGTTGCCTCTCATAAGCACCCCAACTGGGGCGGGCACGGGGGACCTGCAACCCAGATACGTGCCCTTGACCAGAAATGAACCTACAACCATCCAGTGCACAGGCTGGCACTCTAACCATTGAGAACAGGGCATAATTTCTTAATTATCTTTAAGTCCCTATTCCTACAAAGTGCATTAAAGTAATTCATTCCATCATCCAGCAAACATTTATTAAGCACTAACTACATGCCAGGTACTTTCCTAGCTGTCGAGATATAGCAGTAAAGACAACAAACAACAAAAAGCCCCTGTCCTGGGCTTACCTTATAGGTGAATAGGCATAGTAAACAGAAAACAAAGAAATACATAATGTAATACCAAGTGATGGTAAGGACTGTGAAGAAAAACAAGCAGGATAAGGGGTTAGAGGGAGTTGGGGGTTTTATTGTGGATCGAGAGGTTCAGGAAGGAAGTGGCATTTGAGTGGAGACCTAAGTGAAATGAATGAATGAAGCTTTCAAATAACTGGATGGGGAAAGGAGTGTAACACTAGTCGAGTGTCTTTCTGTGCCACATATTACCCTGTATTTTTTAAGAAATATATGTCTTTATTGATTTTAGAGAGGAAGGGAGAATGAGAGAGAGATAGAAACATCAATGATGAGAGAGAATCACTGATCAGCTGCCTCCTGCACGCCCCCCACTGGGGATCGAGTCCAAAACCCAAGCATGTGCCCTTGGCCAGAATTGAACCTGGGACTCTTCAGTCCGCAGGCTAACGCTCTATCCACTGAGCCAGGGACTATCCTGTATTCTTTTACACGTGTTGCCTCATTGTCATACCATCCCCTCCAGGTAGGTTTTCCCCCCAGGTATGGAAAGTTAAGCTCAGAGAGGTAAAGTAACATCTCCAAGTTCACACTGCTAATCATGTAGCTGGGGCCTAAACCACGTTTAGTTAGTTCCAAAGCCTCAAGATGCACCCAGGTTAGCAACAAGAATTAATCCCCAAACTGAGAGTCCAGGAACTTTCCCCACTGAACTTTTTCCTGCTTTATGACCAGAAAATGGCAATCTTATTTCATTGTGTTCTCGGTACTCTGTAACAATTAACACTCTGCCTTGAAATCATATGAATTGGAAGCGATATAGCCTAGTATTTAAGTATCAGGTAGACCTGGGTTCAAGTCCAGGACCTATTTGCTTGGTTAATTCATTGATTTGCTCAGCCAATTGTCTGCAAATGTGTCATGTGCCAGGCTTGGTGCTGAATGCTGGGAACGGGCAGACCTAATGTTTGCCTTCATGGAACTCACGGACTATGCTAGGCCCTTTGTTTATATTACCTGCAGCTTACTTGTGAAGCGTACTATTACCCACCGTTTATAGATGAAAACACTTAAATTAAGGGAAAGGGACTTGCCCAAGATCACATGGTCAGTAAGTGGCAGTCAGGATTTGAACCCCAAGTTTTTTTATCAGCGTGCAGGCTCTTTCTCCTGTACTCTCGGAACAGATGTGTAATTCTGGAACCTGCTAAGTGGACTCATGGACATTAGAAGCGAGATTTGCAAGTGGAATGGATAGTAGTCAGCAGGTATATTTTTTAGTTCTTGCTCTCCTGTCTGTGAAATCTTGGAAAAGCCACTTAACCTCCCTGAGCCTCGGTTTGCTCCTACACTAGATGAAGGGGCTGCTCTCAGTGGTCTGCCAGATCCCTCTCGGGGCTCCAGAATTCTGCCAAGCTATGAACTTATGCTGCTGAATGCTCACTGCTGGCTTCAGTTCCCCTTCGAGTGGCCTGACTGTGTATCATGTTTGCCTTTCAAAGATCTAGTTCACATAATGCGCACCTCTGCAGCCCCACAGGACTTAGCAGGACTTAACGATCACTCTTGGTGCCGTGTATATTAGTTTGAAGGATCAGTGAGTTTAACTTGAATTTCCAAAGACATGAGGCTCTGTTACATTATATTTTACATTATTTTATGTTAGCTAATGGGCGTAATCCAAGAGAAAGTTGACGGACCAAAACCGTCTGCTCCTGCAAACCTCATTTTTTATATACTTTCTTCCCTTTGACAAGGTGGTAAGGTCATGAGGCCCCTTACTGAATTGTACGCTTGGTAGTTTTCCAGATAAAAAATGAATGATCTGTTCTTTATTATGGAGGCTGCGTCATATGAGAGGATAAAGGTTGATTTAGATGAAAAAAGGACCAAGGTTTATATTTGGTTTTGGCAGTGACTTCCATTTGATTCTGGGCATGTCACCCTAGCAGCTTGCTGCTTTCGAGTGCCTTATTTGTAAAATAAGTAAAGTAATAATGATAGGTAGAGATTTGGTGGGATTAGTAGAGAAAATAGATTAAGTAGTATGATCTCCTTAGAGGAAAGAAGCTTTATAAATATAATTTTATTATTTTAGTATACTTTGAATTTTAGACATATACACACACATATACAGTACACACAGGGTGGAGCAAAAGTAGGTTTACAGTTGTGAGTACACAAAACAGAGTTCATTTTTATATTACTATTTATTAATTATTGTATTATTTTCCATAGGAAAAACTGTAAACCTACTTTTGCCCCAGCTTGTATATACACACACTTTGGGAGGAAAGGAAGGAGTGAGGAAGGGAACTAATATGTTGAGTACCTACTATGTGCTAGGAACTGTGCTTCACATATACAGGGAAAGTGGAAAAGTACAGTTACATTTGTGTGTTGGTAGCACACAAGCATGAAATTGAGTTCTGGCTTGTCTGCTTTTTAACTGTGTGATAATGGCAACCGTCTCCACCTCTCTGACTTTCAGAGAATTCATCTGTAAAATACTTACAGGTCTTGCCTTATATGGTTATTGGGAGATTTCAGTGAGATGATGCGTTGTTTTTTGAGATAATGATTTTAATGTGTAGCAAGCACCCAGTTAATGGTAGCAAATGTTCTTTCATTCCCTTTCATATATAAGTAGGATCATCATTCCCTTTTAAGGATGAGGAAACTTAAGATTCCGCGAGGTGAGGCATTGAAGCTGGGTCACAGAGCTGGAAACTGGCAAAGCTATACAGAAGAAACTAACACACCAAAGCTGATG